TCGGCCTTCGTGATAATATTGCTACGCATTTGAACTCAAACCGTGCATTATTCTACAACAATGCACTCAGAATTGATATCTATTTCCTAAATTTAACAAAGCCAATTTTCATAACTACCATCTCAATACAGTTATTGATAAGTTGATACCCCGTTGCTACCCCGTTGTTTCCCTGAGTACGACATTTTTTCAGGCATTGCCTCGTACTCACTTCAACAAAGATTAATTATTTTACGAAGCTGATAGATCTGTGCTTTAAGGGACGGATTCGAGACTGTGTTTTTATTTTCTACGCAATCAATCTAAAATAAATTCTGTATAAAATGAATTAAATTTTCCCCACAAAAATATATTTGAAAAGTGCTAATACTCGCCGATTTATGGCTTTAAACCTGTGCAACAGTTCAGTACAATATATGAAATAAATCACATTTTCCGACGTTACCGTGAAGCGCTATTCACGTACATCGGCGTTACCTCATAAAAACGACTTGAATCACATTTTATTGTTTACAACGCAGACGGCGGTCGATTTGATTGTAACGCAGTGCGTTTGTCCCAATACAATTATTTAGAGGTTAATACTTGGTTGCTGCTCGGCATTATGCGATAATGGCCCGAAGATGTGCATAATGGCCTGAGGGCCGCAGGTCCGAAATATCTTTAATACCTATGTCCGAAATACGGCATTTAGACATCGCCGCTAATCTTGGTTCTCGCCCTTTCTAAGAAACGGACTGTTGTCAATGTAAACAAATACACATGTAGTTGTCATTCAGTTTAATCCTTCGAATACCTTTCAAACATGACAAAACAAAATAAATGAGACAATGTTGTTTTATTGTTGTTTATATCGATAAATACTCTAGTATTTTTTATAAACTATAGTGCCTTCAAGAACGGTTTCCGAGATTTATGTCTAGCTCTATAAATTTTGCCATCGGCATCGATCCGATCTTTTTTTCTACCTTCTGACTAAAATGATTTTGGAAGTTCTGAAGGTCATGTTTTGTCTTGGGTAAAATATTGTATTTTTGTCTTGAGTTTATAAATCTTCAATGTTAAGCTTTGTTGATTGAGTTGATTACGTCATTTAAACTTAAAAAATTTTGTGTGCAATTGACATTCATACAGTTCATTCAACGTCAGCAGCCATCTTCAAAGTCACTGAGAGTCGATTACGTCATTTTGCACGTGCGCTCTTTCGCTCGCCAATTATGGAAAAATAATGCCGAGTAGTAAGGCTGCCAAAATTGCATAATGACCTAGATCTTGCCATAATGGCCCTGAAATACCCTAGATTTTGTTACTATATATAGTAACTTAGGTATTAATTAAGGGTAATTGTCGTAAAGACGACGTTACGTTAGCGGGAACGGCAGGCAGACAACGTTACGTTGGCTGGAAGAAGAGTTCAAACGACGTCATTTCCGTTGTATTGTTATTTTACCGTTAATAAACATTATCATTTTAGACACAACGCAAAGTAGTTGCTTCTTATTTCACTGACCACTTTTACATTTTGGTGCCGTGACAAAACAGAAAGTATGGATATTTTGAGAATTAAAAAGAGAAGAAGTGCACATAAGGCTGTGATAACACGTCAACTTGGCAGATTAGAAGAATATGCGGGCGATAATACGCACTTTTCTACCGTTATTGAAACTCTACGCAACAAACTTTTGGCGCTGGAAGAGATCAACGAGGAGATAATGTCACAGGTAGATGAGGTAGACATGGAGACTGAGATGATCGAGACTGAGGACTATATGCTGGAAGTTCGGCTACGCATTGGAGATTTGGAGGCTCAACACCGCGCTGCTGTGGAGATCACCCGTTCCCAACAGATTACCCTTCAGAATACCACACTTGAGGAGCCCCTAAATAGTAACAACCATGAGACCGCACAACCCGTGCACAGTAATGCCGAAGAAACTTCAGGGAACCGAAATAATAGCACATCGGCTAATAACGTAAGTGACATTTCAATTCAGTCTGCATCAAATTTTCAAAAACTTCCGAAGCTTTCATTACCAAATTTTACTGGAGACATTTTGGAGTGGCAAACATTCTGGGACTGTTACGAATCAAGTATACATAACAACATGTCACTATCTGAGGTGCAGAAATTTTGCTATTTGAAAACTCTATTGTCCGACGATGCTGCCAGTGTGATTGATGGTTTGAATGTTACACATGGAAACTATTCAGAAGCTATACATTTACTCAAGGAACGTTTTGGTCAGACACATAAAGTTGTAAATGCGTACATGCAAGGTTTGCTGGATTTACCTAGACCAACTTCCCAACTGTCCAGTCTAAGACCGTTTCAAGAAAAGATGGAGGCATATATCCGTGGTCTACAGTCCCTAGGTCAAGGTCATGAGTCCTTTGGAAATTTACTTATACCGGTCATACTTGAAAAACTTCCGGCGGAGATCAAGCGGAATATGACACGCGACCATGGCGGGAGTTAATGGCGACTTCCGGAACTTAGGAGAGCGTTAAAGAAGGAGATAAATATAATAGATTCAGGCCAGCCAACACAGACTACATATGAACATTTGGTAACTGCATCTTTCCTTACAAGCACGAGACCAACACAAAAGAAGGAAAGTTTAAAGCACATACAAGAAGTCCAAATACCCCAACGCCCCCAATGTCCATTCTGCAGTGAAAATCATTTTGCTAATGACTATAAAAACATCATAAATCCTAGAGAGAGAAAAGCCATTATTCATCGCAAGAAACTGTGTTTCAACTGTTTAGGCAAACACATTGTTGCTTCCTGTCGCTCAAAACACCGCTGTAGAAAATGCAACCGGAAACACCATACCAGCATTTGCGATCAGAGTATCGGAAGCTCACTGAATACATCGGCTCAAAGTTTCGTCCCAATTTCCGGTAGTGAAGCAACAACACATCTTACTTCCGGTTCCAGTGCACAATCGGCCATTCTAAATTCTGCAACACAAAGTTGAAACAACGTATTACTGAAGACTGCTGTTGCTGAGGTTACTTCCGGTCACGCTTGTGCTAAAGCAAACATTTTATTTGACGAAAGAGCGCAGCGTTCATTTATTACTCATGAACTCGCCGAAACACTACAATTATAGAGACGCGGGTCTGAAGTTGTACATCTGGCTGCATTCGGGGCGGAGTCCAAGAAAGTCGGTCATTTTGAAACCGCCACAGTTTACCTGATAACTGACAACTCAGAGAAAATTGCCATCGATGTACTAATTGTGCCGTCTATTGCTGTACCTTTACGTAACCAAATACGTATCCGGACCACTTCCGGTGAAGTCATCAAGTACAGCTACGAACTACATTATAAATATTATTACATCTGCATCAGATTATGATGATCTTGAGCGATTCTGGAAATTAGAATCCATCGGCATTTTACCCGCAGCAGAAGAAAAGGCTTACGACTACTTGCATGATTATCAGAAGAACTGCATTACCTTTGAAAATGGCCAGTATACTGCTTCGTTGCCATGGAAACCTGATCACCCTAATTTACCCGACAACTATAACATCACATTAAGAAGAACTCAGAACACCATACGACGATTACGTGAAGACCCCCCTTTACTACAAAAGTACGACGGCATAATTAAAGACCAGGAAAAGAGAGGATTTATAGAGAAAGTGAATGTTTTACCAAGTGAGCGTCCCGTGCACTATATCCCACATCACGGAGTAAAGAAACATTCGGCCACCACCCCTATCCGTATTGTGTTTGACTGTAATTGTCGTCAAAACAAAAATTCACCCAGTCTTAATGATTGCCTTGAAACAACCCCTCCTGAGATCAACGAATTGACAAGTATTTTAGTGAACTTTAGAAAGAACAGATATGCCGTCTGCACAGATATTGAGAAGGCTTTTCTTCAAATACAACTCAACGAGAATGATCGTGACGTCACACGATTGCTATGGTTGAACGACATTTATGATCCAAATAGTGACCTTACAACATACAGATTCAAGTCCGTGCTTTTTGGTGCCACATGTTCACCATTTATACTTCATGCCACTTTAACCAAGCATCTGAGTGCCAATGATCATAATTGGGTGAGTGCACTACTTAAGAAAGACCTATAAGTTGATAACGTGATGTCTAGCTTTTCTGACGAGAGTACTCTACTTGACTACTTCCAGAACACACGCAAATTGATGACATCTGCTGGTTTTAACTTACGGTCCTGGAGCTCTAACAACAGTTCTCTGCGCAGCTTAGCGGAAGCGGAAGAAGTAGCCGAGACTGAAGAAATAACTAGCATCCTTGGAATAAAATGGGACCCGATATCAGACCAGATTTTCTTAGCACAGAAGACCATTTCTACCTCCCAATTTATGACAAAACGTGTCATACTCAAGGAAACAGCGAAGATTTATGACCCGCTTGGCTTCCTGACCCAAATCACAATTCGTGCAAAAATCCTACTTCAAGATATTTGGAAGCAAAAGTTCGAGTGGGACATGTCCCTACCAGATGACCTACAGACCCAATGGTATAACTTTGCTAAAGACTTAAACAGTGTATCCCTACCAGATACCCGAGAAGTTACTTCAAGGAAACTGACTCTTTGGCTTTTACTTCCGGTATAGGCGACAGTGCTGCCAGCGCATCCTCAGATCTTCATGTGTTTTGTGACGCCAGCCTTAAGGCCTATGGATCAGTAATATACATTACACGTGGTGACCAGTCTGCACGTGTAATATCAAGGACACGTGTCGCACCTTTGAAGCTTCTGACATTACCAAGGCTTGAACTTATGGCTGCAGTGATTGGTTCAAGACTTCTGCAGCACGTACTACAGACGATACCTACAGCATCCGTACACATGTGGTCTGACAGTCAAATTGTTCTACACTGGCTGTCATCCAACCGGAAGTTGAAAACATTTGAATAGAATAGAGTGACTGAAATACACAATCTTACAGAGAACAGAAGGTGGATTTACTGTCCAACCGAGCACAATCCGGCTGACATGTTGACAAGAGGAATTACAGCTACTGAATTTCTGAAGAGTAGATTATGGGAAAAAGGTCCTGATTGGTTAACTGATGAAAGTCGGTACCCGAGCCAACCAGCTGTTGTAACAACTGTTTTACTCGCAGAAGAACAAGATGATACACTTGTTACCATGAAAACCTACGGAATTCACAATGTCATTGATATCAACAGATTTAGCCGTTACAGAAAGCTTCTTAGGGTGACAGCCTATATGATGAGATTCATTCAACATTGCCGATCTGCGAGAACTTCCGATAATACGTCAACTCTGACGTTAACTGTAAAAGAACTTGCCGATGCAGAGAAGATGTGGCTTCACAATTGCCAAGCAACCACCTATAGCGCTGAGATTACATGTATCAAGACCGGAAGGAGAAACCTTACGTTTGTTAGGCAACTACAATTATACCTTGACAATAATGGCTGCATTCGCTATTGTGGTAGGATTCATAACGCACCTTTAGCTGAGCAAACCCGATTTCCATATCTGCTTCCGGCAAACCACCAACTGACGAAACTTGTAATTATAGACGCCCATGAAAGACACTTACACGCAGGTACGAGTGCACTTATTACCCATATACGCCAGAAATATTGGATTCCATCGATTCGCCAGTGTATTCAGAAATTACTCCGGAAGTGTAACCAGTGCCGCCGATTGTCAGGGAGACCGTACACAGCGCCAGATCCACCACCTTTGCCAAAGATACGAGTTCAAGATACACAACCTTTTACTGTGACTAGAGTTGATTTCACCGGAGCTTTACATGTACGAGGAAAAAACAAAAATGAGAAGGCATACACTTGTCTTTTTACTTGTGCTTCGACCAGAGCTGTTCATCTAGAAGTAGTCTCAGATATGACTCAATCTTCATTTTTACAAGCGTTTAGGCGATTCAGTAGCAGAAAATCTCTACCAAAGGTTATGATATCTGATAACGGAACAACTTTTCAAGCAGCAGCAAATACAATACGCCATTTAATGAATTCTACTTCCGTAAAAGACACGTTACACAACCATGGTACAGAGTGGCGATTTATTCCCAAGCGCGCTCCCTGGTTTGGTGGTTGGTGGGAAAGATTAATCGGTGTTACCAAAACAGCTATCAAAAAGGTTCTTGGTAGTGCATACGTCACTTATGATACTCTCCAAACAATCGTAACAGAGATAGAAAGCGTCATGAACGACCGTCCATTGACTTACGTAACGTCAGAGTCAACCGACACAGAACCAATTACACCAGCTCATTTGCTATACAGACGGCGTTTGACAACCCTGCCTTACAATGAAGATATATCGGAACCAAAACCAGTTTCAAGAGATGGGATCACCAAACAAGCGAGAGTACAGTCACAGATCATTAGCCATTTCCGGGATAGATGGCGCCACGAGTACTTGACGTCATTACGCCAGTATCACAAAACTACGGGAAACAATATACAAACGATTAAGGTCGGTGATGTAGTAATTATTCATGATGAAACCCCGAAATCACAGTGGAAATTAGGAACTATTGAACAATTGATCACTGGTAAAGATGGATTGACACGAGCGGCCATGGTTCGCACCAGTAACGGGCACACTACATCAAGACCATTTGTAAAGCTGTACCCCCTTGAGACTATGTAACAGTTACCATATTTTGCGCCTGGGAGGATGTCGTAAAGACGACGTTACGTTAGTGGGAACGGAAGGCAGACAACGTTACGTTGGCGGGAAGAAGAGTTCAAACGACGTCATTTCCATTGTATTGTTATTTTACCGTTAATAAACATTATCATTTTAGACACAACGCAAAGTAGATGCTTCTTATTTCACTGACCACTTTTACAGTAATACTTGGTTGTTGCTCGCCATTATGGCCCAAAAATGTGCATAATGGCCGACATTATGAACTCGAGGGCCACTATCGTATATGGCAAGCAGCAACCAAGTATTCACTTCGTTAATACCTATGATCGAAATACGGCGTTTAGACATCGCCGCTTATCATGGTTTTCGCCCATTCTAAGAATCGGACAGTTGTCAATGTTGTCGGACAGTTGTCAAATATTTTTCATACAGTTTAACACTCTGATTAAAACCTGATAGATCTAACACAAAATAAATATGAGAACATTCTGTTTTATTGTTGTGCTTATTATCGATAAATACAGCTCTCTACATTTTTGTTAGACCAACATTTAGATCTAGTGCCAATTTTTTATGAACTTTTGTGCTTTCAAGACTGATGTTTAGGTCTAAATGCCACCGATCCGATCTTTTTTCAACTGTCAATTTGAGGGCATTTTTTGTCTTGAGTTTAAAATCTTCAATTTTAAGCTTGACTGATTGCGATTAATTCTAAATGTCATTTTTAAAAACTTTAAAATATTTTGTGTGCAAGTGACTACAGTTCATTCAACCAGTTCAGCAGCCATCTTGAACGTCACTGAGAGTTGATTACGTCATTTTCCACGTTCTCTCACTCACTCACCCATTATGGAAAAATAATGCCGAGTAGCAAGGCTTCCGAAATTGCATAATGACCTAGATCTTGTCATAATGGCCTTGAAATACTCTAAATTTTGTTACTTTATATAGTAACATAGGTATTAATATAATGAAGGTTAACCTGACACAACTCATTTTTCCATAGAACGTGATAGCACTTTGACATCAGAGAAACGTGTTTCTTTAGTTTAGTTATCATAATATTATTATTTATGCAAAGAGATGTTCGAGTATCGCTTCCATTTTCCTTCCATTGTAATTCCTTTGGTAGAATAGTTTACGTTAAACCTGGGACTTAAAAAGACCTTGAGTTCGAGGTCTAACAACAAACACAAAAAAGAAATTCCCGTAAGATTAACAGAACCTGCTTTTTAATATGAAAAACAATCTCAGTTTTTAATGTCGCTGTGTTATATTACCATACCGAGAACACAAATTCAACTTTGTATCATAGTTCGAGGACCTTTCTGTTGAAAATATGACTCAGAGTTCAATTGTACACATAATATTATACAGTCATAGTGCGTTAACTGGAATGCAGTTTTAGTTACCCGCACTCGAAAGCATGTCCATTGATTGGTTCATTTTTTTCCGGGGTTTACTTTACGACAGTGAAAGGGATAACGATAGAAATGTCATATTTAGTACGCTCCCTTCGCAGTTCACTTAATACACTCACGCTACTCACGCTACTTCAGAGATAGAAGAATATTCGACCGAATATATTTAGTATAATAGATGCTCGTTCATTTGTTACTTTTTTCTTGGGTTTCATATTGCGTCAACAGGGAACATATTTTATTTTTGCCTATGATACAAAAGAGTTTCATATTACGACAACAGGGAACGTATTTTTTTATTTTTGCCTATGATACAAAAGAGCTTAGCAACAATGATATTGTAATAAACCGTGCGCATCATGTGTATATGAAAAAAAATATGATATATATATATATATATAACGCCTAGCAGAACAGTCATGAAAGCATAGCCACTGCTCATCCACCATCACAAAAATGATGGTTTCAGAACAGCTTTATATACAGTCACAAACTGCACTACACATTGAAACAAGCTCAACATTCTCATATATAGAGTTTGTTCTCTGTTAACATATCTCACAAATCAACGATGACATTTTATTGTCTTCTTCACTGATTGGGACCAGAAAACTATATATCTATTTCCGAAAGTCAACTGGATCACGTAAGATCAAGTAGATCCGTAGGATACAATGAATTTAGACAGATAAAGTATATATAAAGGGAGATAATTAAATTCAATACAGTTATACTTTCCCCTGCGTGGGATCACTTAAGATACAAGTGTGCAGATAAATTGATAGAAATGAGAGAATATATACACACATACCACCACATCGATATGCCAGTCCAATTACGGCACAGCGCCTAGCAGAACAGTCATGAAAGCATAGCCACTGCTCATCCACCATCACAAAAATGATGGTTTCAGAACAGCTTTATATACAGTCACAAACTGCACTACACATTGAAACAAGCTCAACATTCTCATATATAGAGTTTGTTCTCTGTTAACATATCTCACAAATCAACGATGACATTTTATTGTCTTCTTCACTGATTGGGACCAAAAGAACTATATATCTATTTTCCGAAAGTCAACTGGATCACGTAAGATCAAGTAGATATATATATATATATATATATATATATAATATATATATATATATATATATACATTTGGTTAAAAAAGCATAATATAAGAAATAAGGAAACAACAGTCTTTAAGTTTCCAGGTTTAAATCAGACTGTGCAGTACGTTCAGTACTGAATTATTGAACACGTTTGATAAAATATTACTACTTTATTTAACCAACGACTTAAATGAATTAAGTAATAGAAAATATATGTTGATCACATTTTCAAAATAAGTAGAGTTTACAGTCAAAACTAAAACGAAAATAACTGAAACGATTATTTAAGGAGTCAGAATTAAAAATGTTCTTTTTGAATTAGAGGAAACCTTTTACCGATCTGGTTTCAAGTTTATCACATGAAAAGTAAATAAGATCCATTTTTGTGTCGCCTCTACGGAGTAGTGGCGACATATAGGGATCACTTCTCCGTCGTCTGTCTGTCTGTCTGTCTGTCCGTCCGTCCGTCACAAAACTTGTCTCGACTACTCCTCATAAACTACTGGTGCAATTTCATCCAAACTTTACAGGAATGATCAGTACCAAGTCTAGTTGTGCATATTGTCAGCATTTTCCGGTTCAATAATTTTTGTCAGAGTTATGGCCCTTTAATAATTTTTAATTTTAAAGTTTGTCCGGACTACTTCTCTTATACCACTAATGCAATTTCAATGAAACTTTACAGGATTGATCTGTAGCTCAAGTTCTTGCGCATATTGCACGGGTTTTCCGGTTGAATGATTTTGGCCGAGTTATGGCCCTTTGATAAAAAGGTTTCTTTTTCTTGTGTGTTGCCAGATACACAAAAGCTTGTCCGGACTACTCCTCATAAACTACTGGTGCAATTTCATCCAAACTTTACAGGAATGATCAGTACCAAGTCTAGTTGTGCATATTGTCAGCATTTTCTGGTTCAATGATTTTTGTCAGAGTTATGGCCCTTTAATAATTTTTATTTTTTAAGTTTGTCCGGACTGCTTCTCTTATACCACTAATGCAGTTTAAATGAAACTTTACAGGATTGATCTGTAGCTCAAGTCCTTGCGCATATTGCACGGGTTTTCCGGGTGAATGATTTTTTGCCGAGTTATGGCCCTTTGATAAAAAGGTGTTTTTTTCTCTGTGTTGCCAGATACGCAAAAGCTTGTCCGGACTACTCCTCATAAACCTCTGGTGCAATTTTATCCAAACTTTACAGGAATAATCAGAACCAAGTCTAGTTGTGCACTGTCCGTCTGTCTGTCCGTCTGCCACAAAATTTGTCCCAAGACGAAATTGGCCATCATGAGGCGACACATGTGATTACTGATCGCTCTTGTCTTATTTTTATTAGCTTACTTTTTCTGTATTTGTAACTAGTAAAGTACATAATATTGAGTTTTTCTTCTTTTGCTTAAATTGTGACATCGAAGAAAATGGTATGTGATTTCAAAAATGGTATATTTTTAAAGAATTAAAATTACCTCTTCTGAAAAAGATAACAGAATTATTTCATGGATTTTTCGTTATGGAAAAATATATTGAAAAATATTACAAAAGGAAAAAAAATAATTCAGACGTATGTCCCTGAGATTACCCCAAATAAGAAAACAAAAATGAAATTTATGAGCAGAAAATGAGATCGGTGACCCCTAAGTGTTTTTGCTTTAAATGTTTATCATATTCTAACATCATGACATGTTTCAGGAATATATGCCGAACATCTTTAATTTTGCCGGTATGTTTTTATATTACTGCAGGTTTGGTAGTCAATTTTCATTGGATAATCGTGCAGTATTATAATATTAGTTATAAAGATCGTTGACAGATTATAAGGCCCTATATAAACGGTTATATTGCAAACAGCCGTTTATATACGGTCCTATAACCTGTTAACGATCTTTATAACGAATTTATAATACAGCAAGCATTATTTCTAGAGAAACAAGTAAGATTTCTTCATGAATCGACAGCAGCTGTGTATATAAAACAATATAAACGTCACGATTATCCAATGAAAAATGGCGTTACAATCGTGCAGTATTATAAAAAGCTTTATAATATAGCCGTTTTTATAGGGCCATATAACCTGTCAATGATCTATCTTTATAACTAAAAATATAACTATTATGATTATCCTATGAAAAGCGACGTTTCAAACGTTTTATAAAGTTTGTTTCTTGCATATATCAGACAGGATTATTTACCGTTTCCACCGATGCTAGAAAAACCTGTCTAACACAAGTCGCGCGTTTTAAATAACGTCGTTGCCGTGCTCCATTTATGGAAGACGTCATTTTACCATTATGAATGAATTGGTAAATTCATACGCTAACATAAGAATAAAGTGCGTTATGGGAATATCTGTTTTTATGATTTCTGTTCTGTAAATAATTATTGATAATTATGTAATATACAAGACAAAGAATCAAACATCGGCTGTCGGTACAACCGGTAATATCTTGCTCTCGGGTTACTGTTT